GGTCTCTGTGGGCCGACTTGGGGCCCTCTTGGAATGCTCCAGGGCCGTCTTGGAGGCCATCTTGGGCGTCTTAAAGGCCTCCTGGGCCGTCTTGGGGGCCTCTTGGGCCGTTGTGGGGCCATCTTGGAGGCCTTTTGGGCGATCTTTGGGAGATCTTTGGGAGCTCTTGGGCCGTCTCGGGCCGTCGGAAGGCCGAAAAGCAGCAAATGTCAAAATCCTTCACAAACCAAAGGGGAATACGTGTTTTGGGCTTTTTTTGGCCTTCCTGGAGGCCTCTTGGAGGCCTCTTGGGCCGTCTTGGGCCAGCTTCGAGCCAACTTCGGCCATTTTGGTGGGTTCCTGGCACGTCTGACGCCGTCAGGGACCGTCTTGGGGGCCGACTTGGGGCCCTCCTGGGGCGCTCCAGGGCCATCTTGGAGGCCATCTTGGGCGTGTTGGAGGCCTCTTGGGTCGTCTTTGTGCCCTCTGGGGGCCGTCTTGCGGGCCTCTTGGGCCGTTCTGGGGCCATCTTGGAGGCCTCTTGCGCGCTGTGGGGGCGATCTTGGGGGCCTCTTGGGCCGTGTTGGGTCGTCGGAAAGCCGAAAAGGAGCACATTCCAAAATCCTTCAAAAACTTAGGGAAATCAATTCTTTTGGCCTCTTCGGGCCTTCCTGGAGGACCTCTTGGAGGCCTCTTGGGCCGTCTTGGAGGCCTCTTGGGAGCCTCTTGGGCCGTTTTGGGCCATCTTGAGGCCATCTTAGGCCGTCTTGGGTGCATCTTGGGCAGTCTTGGAGGTATCTTGGGGCCATCTTAGCCGTCTTGGAGGCCATCTTGGCCGTCTTGGAGGCGTCTTGGAGGCCATCTTGGGCCATCTTGGAGCCGTCTGGAACGGAAAACCCTTTGCAACCACCTCTGGAAGATTTTTCGGCATCCTTCCGGGTGGCCGGCGGGACGGGCCGAAGCCCCAGGGGGAGTTCTTTTGGAAAAAGAACCAAACCAAAACCGAAAGGATCTAGCACGCCAGGCACCCCTGTGATGAATCAACAGGGGGCGGCGGATCGAAGACGCCTACGGCGGATCACCGCCGCCCCCTGCCTTTTTGAAAGCGCTTATGTGGCAGAACGTTGAGGCCAGACCTGCCAAGCTATCGGACCATGTGTTCCCCGAATCGGTTTGGAACGCCTTCGGGGAACATGTGGGATCTTGAAGGTCATCTTGGCCGTCTTGGAGGCCTCTTGGACGATTTTTCGGCGATCTTTGGGGGCTCTTGGGCGGTCTCGGGCCGTCGGAAGGCCGAAAAGAAGGAAATGTCAACATCCGTATAAAACCAAAGGCAAATCAATACTTTTGGCCTCTTCTGGCCTTCCTGGAGGCCCTCTTGGGGGCCTCTTGGGCCCTTTTGGGCCAGCTTCGAGCCAACTTCGGCCATCTTGGTGGGTTGCTGGCACGTCTGACGCCGTCGGGAGCCGTCTTGGGGGCCTTTCTGGGCCCACGGGGGACCCTCTTGGGGCGCTTCGGGGCCGTCTTGGAGGCCATCTTGGGCGTCTTGGAGGCCATCTTGGGCATGTTGGAGGCCTCTTGGGCCATCTTGGGGTCCTCTTGGGGCCATCTTGGAGGCCACTTGGGCCGTCATGGGGCCCTCTTGGGGGCCTCTTGGGCGATCTTGGGGGCCTCTTGGGCCGTCTTGGGCCGTCGGAATGCCGAGAAGAAACTCATTCCAAAATCCTTCGACAACCTCAGACACATCAATGATTTTGGCCTCTTCGGGCCCTCCTGGAGGACCTCTTGGAGGCCTCTTGGGCCGTCTGGGAGGCCTCTGGGGGGCCTCTTGGGCCGTCTTGGGCCGTCTTGGACTCTCTTGGGCCGTCGTGGAGGCCGTCTTGGACCATCTTGGGCGGACTGGGAGGCCATCTTGGACCATCTTGGATGCCATCCTGGGCCATCTTGGCCACCACGCCATCGAACCATGTGTTCCCCGAATCGGTTTGGAAAGCCTTCGGGGAACACGTGGGCGTCTTGAAGGTCATCTTGGCCGTCTTGGAGGCCTCTTGGGCGATCTTTCGGCGATCTCTGGGGGCTCTTGGGCCGTCTCGGGCCGTCGGAAGGCCGAAAAGAAGGAACTGTCAAAATCCGTATAAAGCCAAAGGCAAATCAATGTTTTTGGCCTCTTCTGGCCTTCCTGGAGGCCCTCTTGGGGGCCTCTTGGGCCCTCTTGGGCCAGCTTCGAGCCAACTTCGGCAATCTTGGTGGGTTCCTGGCACGTCTGACGCCGTCGGGAGCCGTCTTGGGGGCCTTTCTGGGCCAACGGGGGACCCTCTTGGGGCGCTTCGGGGCCGTCTTGGAGGCCATCTCGGGCGTTTTGGAGGCCATCTTGGGCGTGTTGGAGGCCTCTTGGGCCGTCTTGGGGTCCTCTTGGGGCCATCTTGGAGGCCACTTGGGCCGTCATGGGGCCCTCTTGGGAGCCTTTTCGGCGATCTTGGGGGCTTCTTGGGCCGTCTTGAGCCGTCGGAATGCGGAGAAGAAGCAAATTCCAAAATCCTTCAAAAACCAAAAGAAAATACATGATTTTGGCCTCTTCGGGCCCTCCTGGAGGACCTCTTGGAGGCCTCTTGGGCCGTCTTGGAGGCCTCTGGGGGGCCTCTTGGCCCGTCTGGGGCCCTCTTGGACTCTCTTGGGCCGTCTTGGAGGCCG